TTATTTTCCCTTTTATTTTTAATCTTATTTTTGTGTGATGCATAAGCAATAATTCTACTTCAACTGTATGCTTTATATGCTTCCCATTCAAAAATTCAGGCACTTGATGTTTCTGGATTCAAATCAATATATTGTAAGGTCTCTACTGGCATTTGTCGTACAAATTCTTTATCATTCAATAGGGAAACATTAAGATACCAATTTCTTGATATCTTAACTGGTTTCTGAAATACACATTTCAAAGTGGATGCACTATGATCAGATACATAACAAATATCAATGTTACATTCTTGAATTTGATGATAGTTGACGATATTAAAAAATAATCAAGCCCTAAAAAAATTCTGATGCGCATTTGAATAAAATGTATATTCTCTTTTAGTTGGATACATCAAACACTAGGGAATCTACTAAATTCAGTTCTTCCATATAAGTCTTAATTGTTTCCCTCACTAATTATTGTTTTTTCCATGCCAGAGTACTTCTATCAAACTCAGGATCCAATATTTCATTAAAATCTATTATCAGTTTATCATAAATATACTCATTCGTGTTGAAAACATTCATAAAACATAATAGGAGAATCTAAATTTGGTCCATAAACATTAACTATACTGTAGCTATTGCAGTCTCTGTTATTTTGGCACATAAAATTAAATAATGCCCATTTACATCAATAATAACATTGTACATTAATTGGGAAACCTTTTTGAACAAGAAAGGCCGCACCTTTAGCTTTCGTCAAAGTATCTGTGAGGTAAACCTGTTCCACCCAATCATTCATTAAGAGAGATTTATCCTGTTCTATTAGATGAGTCTCTTGTAGATATCTGCCCTTAATGGTTTTAAATATGCTAAGATTACATTTTGTTTCTTGGATTCTTGTAATCCTTTTACATTTAAACTAACTTCATAAATTTTATTTTGGCCCACTTATCAATGTTCTCCCCATACCAATTCATTTTATGACCTGTACCATTTAACAAATATCTAATAATAAACTAATAGTTTATTAATTTTATTAGATATTTGTTAAAAGACTTAAGCTGAACCTTGACAAGATAGAGTCACCATGTGTTCCTGGTTCTTGCAGTGCCACGGATTGTCCATCTTTAGTTCTGAATAGGGTTGTACACCCCCAGACATTGGTGTGCAATTTGGGGGTCTTCTGGACTCACAGTTCCTGCTCAAAGAGGAGGTGGCAGCTGTGGGCAGGAAGGTCTGTGTCCAGATCTGTCTGGTGGTCCAGTTGTGTCCTTTCCAAGACCAGGAATCTTTTCTCATAATCATGCATGCTGTAGTCACCTTCCATGTGGACTATTATGATGGTCTGTACATGAAACTGCCCTTGAAGACCACTTGGAAACTACAATGGCATAAGCAGTTATGAGCGTACCTTTGTACGCCCATGTAACACTGCTGCTGTATAAGCTGCATTTCAGTGAGTTTCCAGGTGCAATTCAAGGTGCTGATTGTCACCTCCAAAGCCCTTTGTGGCCTAGGCCCTGGCTCTCAGGGAGTATCATTGTTTCTGCCTGTTGTAGAGTGGCAGAGTGGGCATGCCCTGGGTCCCTAAGCAATGCCATCTGATGGAACCTAGAAGCTGTCCCTTCTTTTTGTGGAGTCTCCTTCTGGAATAGCACTTTACTAGAGTTTTGAATGCTTCCAACCCTGCTATCCTGAGCCTTGAAAACCTGGCTTTTTCCCACGCCCTGGGTTAATGTCTGCCTGAATGGGGTTGTATTATTTTGGCTATGATTTGTTGGTTCCCCCTGGTTATAACCATCTTTATTTTTTTTTGATTGGCTTATTTAGGTTGTGATTGTAATTTGTATCTGCCTAAAGTGTGTTGGGCAGCCTTATAAACTTAAATTATGAATAGCCACATTCTATAAGATATTGATGTTCTCACATAAAGTTTTAGAGAATTTTATCTGAGAAGAGCAAAATCTTGCTCTTTTTTTCTTGATAGTGTAATCGTCAGTATATCATGAGGTTTCAGCCATTTTTAAGTTATTTGGGAGGTAGCACCCAGTACTTGAAAACTTTGCTAACCCCTGTTGTAACATGTTTTGCTGTCTCATGGGTACATTTCCCCCCCCTTAATCTTGGATTTTTTTCTACAGGTGGCAGAAAATCTTCAAGTCCCGTTTGGTACGGCTCCTGGTGATCTACGGAAACACCTTCTTTGTCGTACTCATAATCATCCTTGTCTTGTTGTTTCTTGGTGAGTGGAAGTCTGTGTAATTGGATGGTGCTATTGACTTTACTGTTAATATCATTTATGAGGGTGTGCCCATTTGCACAGTCCTATTCAGATCCTATCAGGGACTTACGTTTCTTAGTTTACTTATTTTATTAAATTTGGAAGGCTGCCCAACTCCCAAATGACTCTGGGTGGCTTACCTAATTAAAATGAAACAAAAAGAAAAAAAGTTCTGAAAGAAGAAATGGACGTGTATTCCTGGACAAAATCATCCATAAGTTGCAAAAAAACCACCTGGAGCTCAATAAACAACATAACCCCAGGCCTGAGTGCAAGGCACGTCTTCAAGAACCTATGGAACCCTTATGGGGTGGGAGCCAAATGAGTCTCTGAAGGGATGCTGTTCCAAAGTTGATCTTGCTCCTGATTCTTTGGGCTGCTTCCAGTCCAACATTGTAATGAAAGCAGTGGGAGCAAAACTTTATTTCAGCTTTTTTCAGATTTGTTTTTAAAATGGATAATTCCTTGGTCTCAAGGCAGTTTGTAATCAAGCAAAATGCATACATTTTCTCAATGAAATGTAAAAACAAAAACCTACTAGTTAACTAGCTAAGACAGCCCTCACACCATTAATATTCAAATGCCTTGTGGAATAGCCAGATCTTAATAGCTTTCCTGAATAGATCCAGAATGATAACTGTTTGAGTATTCTCAAGCACAGTCAGTTTATGGCCTAGTCAGAATCCAGAGTTTAGCTGTAAAAGATCCTTTTTCTGATCTTGCCAGACTCTTTAAATGGCTAGACCAACATTTAATATCTGGGTTTTCTCACAGGGTAGTTGTAAAGATTTGAAAGAAAACCCCAAACCTGAAAGCATATTGTGTTCCAAAAAATACTAGAAAAATAAAGAGGCTTGGGGAAGGAAGTATCAAGGAAGGAGGAAAAACTGATCCACTGGAGAAGGAAATGGCAACATGCCCCAGGTTTCTGCCAAGAAGAACAAATGGACACTCCCAAGTGAGACAGTGTTAACGTGATGCTGGAAAATGAGCCCCCCAGGATAGGAGGTATCCAACCAGCTACTGAAGAAGAGCAGAGGGCAAGCATGAGTGAAGCTGGTGCTTATGATGTGGCTGGATTAAAGCTGAAAAGATGTCCAGCTACTGATCTGTCCAGAAGCAAAAGGAAAATTTGATGCTGCAAAGACATATGTACCATTAGTACATAGAATGTCAGATTCATGAACGAAGGCAAACTTGATGCTTTCAGTGCAGAAATGTCAAGACTGAACATTGACATTCTGGGAATCAGCAAAATGAAATGGACTAAAATGCATTGCTTCACATCAGTAAAGCATCACATCTGCTCTGGATGAGAAAAGCACAGAAGAAATGGAATAGCCTTCAAGGATCACAATCACTGCTCAATTACAGCTCCCTAAATTAGAAAATGATCTCAGATGAATCCAAGGCAATGCAATCAATAACAGTGATCAAAGTCTGTGCTCCAGCCACAGATGCAGTGGAAGTGGCAGATGAACAGTTCTGTTGCAACATCAAGTGTCAAAAGAAGACAATATACCAATTACTGGAATACTAAAGTTGGTAATGAAATAGCATTTGGAATAATAGGAACATTTGACCTGAGTTTATGAAGCAAAGCAAGAGACAGGCTAGTAAGAGTTCTGCCAAGAAAATTCAATGCTTATAGGAAGTATATTCTTCCAGTAACCTAAAAGATAACTGTACATATGGCCATCATCAGGTGGTCTGTGCTGACCACATGCTCTGCAAGCAAAGATGGACAAGCTCCACTCAGCAAAAACAAGATCTAGTGTTGGCTGTGACCCAGGTTACAAACTTCTTATAAAATACAGGTAGTCCTCATTTAACATCCACTTGTTCAGTCACTGTTCAAAGTTACAACGGCACTGAACAAGGGTACTTACAATGGGTCCTTGTAGTTGCAGCTACAGGACACTATGACTAAGCAGGATTTGCCTACTGACGGCAAGTGGGACTGCTGCAACTGCTGTTATAAGTTGGTATGGTCACATGATGTCGCACCTTATGACCATGTCGCTTAGTGATGGAGTTCCCAGTCCCAGTTACTGTTGGTGAGGACTATATGTAACGATTTTAAAAAAGCACAATCAGACCAACAAGATACAATCTCATTAGTATTCCATATGATTATGCAGTGAAGGTAAATAATAGATTTTAATGAATTAGATTTGATAAATAGAACACCTAAAGATTTCTGGACTGAAATGTATAACATCCTTAAAGATGAAGGAAACAAAAATATCCCAAATGCAAAAAGCAAAATAAGACAAAATGGCAATCTGATGATAAGTTGAGAACAGCTGAAGAAAGAAAACAAGAGGCAATAGATACAGAGAGAATTTGCCCAACTAATGCTGAGTTGCAGAGAAAGGAAAAAAGACAAAAAATTACATCTAAATCAGCAACCCAAATGAATTGAGGATAACAACTGAACGGGAAAGACAAAAGATTTATTTAAGCATATTACATAAATCAAGGGACCTCTTATGCAAAGATGGGCATGAGAAAAGACAAGGCAAAGCCCCACTAAAAAAAGACGGTAAAAAGAAAAGATTGTGTGAGTATATAGAAAACTGTACAAAAAGACCCCAAATCAATGATATACTGTATATTAAGGTTTGATCACTGAACTAGAACCAGGCAGTCTGGAAAGTGAAGTTAAAATATTGCTGTCAGTTGATTAAATACCAGCAGAATACTATTTAAAATCTTGTAAGATAATTTGTGCAGTTTCTAAGCAAGTATGGAAAACACAGCAGTGGCAAGAATCAGAAACAATCCATTTTTGTTTCAATATCAAAGAAGGAGAATGCTCAAACTACTGAACAGTTATACTTCTCTCATGTGCTAAAATAATGCTGAAAATTTTGCAGTTTGCACTTCAACAATACATGCATGCAACAAGTACTGCCAGATGTACAATGTGGATTCAGAAGAGGCAGGGCACCAGAGAGCAGATTGCTGACACCCAATGGATAATGAAAAAGCAAAGATATTTATGTTTGCTTTTGGCTTTGATTATGGATAGCCCTTGAAAACATGAGTAGATTAAGCCATTCCATCTGCCTATTGAAGAATTTATTTCATGACCAGGAAGCATTAGAATGAAATATGAATAAACTAAATGGTTCAGAATTGGAAAAGGAGTGTGCCATCTTGATTACTGTCACTTTAATTACATGCAGAATGTAACATGAGAAAATCTGGACTAGAATAAATAGAAATTGGAATTAAGATACGCTGATGCTGTTGCTTAGAAGGTTAGAAATGAGGAACACTTGAAGAATCTCTTGTTGAAGGTGAAAGAAGAAAGTGCAACACCCAGTGTGCTGGTCAGTATTAAACAGAACTCTAAGGTTATGCCAACACACAAAGGTGAAGGAAAGATTGAAGTAGTAACAGACTTTTATCTTCCTAGGCTCAAAGGTTCTCAAGGATAGTAACTAGAATGACTGAGGAGCAATAAAAATGGTTGCAAGTGTAATGTTTTGCTGGGTTTCTGTCTGTTGATTTGGCTACATGTTCCAGGACATAAATATCAGCCTAAAGGGCAATTGTATTGTGCACATTTAGCTTTGTGTTTTATAATTCCAAATTATATGCTTCAATCTACCTTCCCTCCAAAAAATCCAGATGAGCAAATATCTCCATTTATGCATGTAGACCAGGGTTCCCCAAAGTGGTCAATATCAAGGGTTGATGGGACTATCCAAGGGGTCAATAAGGGGATCAGGAAATATCTGGGGGTCATTAAATGATGGAAGATTGATTTGGGTCAATTACATTTTAGGGGTCTCTGTAGAGGTCCATGCCACTCCCTAGTCCTGAAGATGAGGTGGCAGGACATTGTTACCCAGGGTTGGGTAGTCAGCTGTCAGCAATGAGCTGAAGAGTTTGGGGACCTCTGATGTAGACCCTAGTCCTTCTAAGAAGCAGAGTGCACAGGGATCTCTCTCCGCTACTTTCTTTTCTTCATGTGCCTTGTTTGTTGGGCATAGAAACTGACTGGATTCACAGTTTTATATCTACACATTGTATGAATCCAGCCACTATTATTTATAATTCACGATTTTTGGATTAGCTTTATGGGTGAACCAGGCTATTGTAGTTCCAATGAACTGTGGCTAATACCAAGTATGACTTAGAACAATAAATGAACCAAGTCAGTGTTGGTTGTTATATCTCTGCATCTTGAAAGCCTGGGTTTTCTGAGACTGCAGAAAATGCCATTCTCCTCTTTAGCTGGAGCTGGAATTGCCTGTGAGTGATGGAATAGGGAAGCCTAACTAGTTAATTATTTAAAGTGTTCTGGGGTGAATAGATTAGTACTAAATACTTATATGGGCTAATTTTGTTGATATATTTCTAAGACTCCTTGAAAGCTCCAAGCAGAGTGTCTTCTGGGTGGCTGGATCTTCCCTTTTTACCCTTAGAATAGGACTGGGGAATGTCTACCAGATATTGATGAACCTCAACTTTCAGCTTTGTTGAGAGATGAAGCTCTGTCACATCTGCCAAGTGACTCTTGCATTAGAGAACTAGAAGCTCTTAAGAAAAATAAAATTGCACTCAGTCTTGCAAAAGTCTGAGTGATCTATATTACTCAGAAGACCCACATCAGCGATCTGTATTAAAGTTCATTGTTCTAAATGGCTATGCGTAGGTACTTGACTCAATTCAGAATACTAACAGCAATTAAGAATAATATAATTTCATTCTTAGCTGTGATTTATAGTCAAAGAGTAATAAAAAGTGGCAACAACTGCAACTAGTTTGCCTCACTACTGAGATTGATTTCTTGGCAGCAAGGCATAGGAGCAATTATTCTGGAGTAAATGAATAGTGGTTTAGTAGCAGCAGAGCTCTGCAGTTCAGTTCTGCTGGGTAGTGTTTGTGGGATCCCCACTAGTAACTTAGGATTGTGTTTGAGATACGTCTGCTCTGCTGGTGAACAGGGCCTGTTGGGTACCCTAATTTGTGGTGTTTATATTGAATCTATTTGCCTGAGATGTTCTTAATAATAATAAAAAAATATATATAAATTCACATGAGAAATGCTGGGCTAAGTTTCTACAAACTGGCTGGAATTTGCAAATGAATCTTATGTATACAGAGGTCTGATTGTTTCTCAATGACTTGCAGATGCCATTCGTGAGATCCGGAAATACGATGATGTGACTGAGAAAGTGAACCTGCAGAACAATCCTGGCGCTGTAGAGCATTTTCATATGAAACTCTTCCGGGCCCAGAGAAACCTGTACATTGCTGGCTTCTCATTACTGATGGCCTTGTGAGTACCAAAAATGGGCACTGTTGAAATTAATTCAGCCAATTAATTTTCCAACCTTGCATTTCCCAGATATTTGGGACCACCATTCCCCAGCCAGCATATTAGCTAGTGTCCAACATGTTAAATCAGACCCTATTGAGGGAGCTGGGTTATTTGTTTGGTGGCCATAGCAAAGCTTTTAGCAGGAAGGAATTGGAGGAGCATTGGAAATATGTGGCTACAAAACATGTTTCCAGTAACTCTGCATCATATACAACAGCTGGCATCATTCCTAAGACCAGCTTCTTGTTAGTAGGATCAGAGAACCATTTTACTTAACCTGCAGTCCTCCAGATGCTGTAATACCTATCAATCTGATGGCTTGGCCATTAGTGAAGGCTGCCACAGAAACCTTATTTGGAATCCTTGTTCTTCCAGATGATGGAAAGAGGTTCGCAGGAAAGGTATCTGGTCTTAGGAATGTGCACAAAATGGAGAAAATGTTTTCTTTCAAACTCTGAACAAACCATTGCATTCTGGAAGTTCTGCTGAACCATTTTGGATTAGTTGCTGTGTGGCAGAAACAGAACCCCTGTGTGGTCCCATGTTTTGGATGAAACAAAATCTAGAGGGTCCTGGAGGAATTTTAAGGGGGAGTAGGTCAAGGCTGATGAGCATCACCCCATCTCTCTCCTTGCCTCAATAGCTGCAGCTGGTGGTGTTACTGTTGTATGTATGACATATTGTCCTGACCTGTGCTCCCCATCTTTGCTGCCTCTTCTTTCTCTTCCTCCCATCAGCTGTTGGCGATATCCCAACACGGTATATCCCACCAGCACCCCCAGTCTTCCAGGACCTTCCCTTCTCTCAGCTGCTGCCCCTATATGGCCTTTGCACCTGTTCCTTATTGCAGTGGTCTCAGCTGAATGGAACAGGCTCCCAGCCTGGCATATCCCACTAATCCATCTGCCCTCCAGGCTTCCCAGCACCTTCGCTCCCTTCTTCCTTTCAGCTGCTGCTGCTGTCTTTGCTTTTTACTATTCTTATTCCCCCAAACCACTTCTGCCAAAAACAAGTATGTTTCGGTCCGTACTCAGAACAGCCCTGTTTCTTTCTATGCATGCTTCAAAGCATCTAAAATACACATGTCTGATTTGGAATTAGACCATCTGGAACTAGTTGTTCCATGAACAGAATGTTTTGTATGTCCCTACAGGGCCTCTGTCAGTGGTGGTCTCTCTAATTTCCTTATATACAGAGCAGCCTCAACACCCGGGGTGGTCAACTCACAAGGTGCATGGAACAAATGAAAGGAGGTGTGCTATGTTTTCTAAAGTTGTCTCTCCCCAGGAACATGGAATAATGTTGCAGGATGGTGTTGTAACATTACCTTGGGTGCCAAAAGTAATACTAAAAAAAAGTACAGTACCTGATAGCAAAAAAGATTGCCTGCCCTTGTGTAAGGCAGATATCAGAATCTCCTTGGAATGCCATCAGCCTATTTCTATCGTGCTATGAGTTAACTTTACAGTTTCATAGAACATTATGGAGTAGTGCATATCCCTGTGCTAACCGTATTTATTGCAAAGAAAATCAGATTGTAAATAATTAGGGTATCTTTGCCATTAAGTTTGCTGTAAAGTTCGTCTGCAATTTTTTTTAAAAGGGGAAAGTACAAAGTCGATTTTTGTGAACGGGATGAACTGTGAACTGACTACTTTTGCGAAACGTCCTTGTGACAAGCAACATATGTTGGGTACAGAAGCCCATTGGAAGCTTAATTCCATGACCTGAGATCTCCTCTGGAATTAAGCAATTGCTTTCACACTTGGAACTGTTCTACGTGAAACTGAAATTCTCAGAGTAAATAAAACCTGTTCCAAATGCTACATTCTGGCATGAGAACTGCCCTGTCCATATGGAAGCCTGCTACCAATCATGGAAAGATATGCCTGTAATTTTAATATTATGCTATCTCCCTTAATCACTCTTTTTTGGAAGTATTACAATAACGCATTGTCCCGGTGTTGCATTTTTTTTAGGTCAGCTGAATTTCCAGACTTTAACGTTTGGATGAGGGAGACAGGCTCATCCTTTCATGTGTGCTATTTCTTTTAAATTTCTGGACGCTGAATATGACTGGCCCTTGGAAACCTGGGTGTATGCCTTCACTTGTTCTGTCTCATTTGGAGAGCCCAAGTGGTATTTGTGCAGATTTAGATGGCATAAAAAATAAACCAGTGGCAAATGCATTCATACATTTTTTTTTTTCTAGAGTTCTTCAGCATGTAGTCTTTGAAAACCTTAGGTGTAGGCACAAAAGCCTTCAGAAGTTACTACTGGATTTTTGTTTTTAGTATGATAGATCAGGAAACATTAGAAATATTACTATATTTAAAAGCAAAAGTGAATGAAATTGCCATGTTTATGTTTAATCCAGTGCTAGTTGGAATGTGGTCCCCATCATGCCATTCAAAGGCTAAGTTGGGCATTCTGTTTTATTGCAAGGTTACTTAGAGGTGGCAGAATGACAAAAATATGACTGTTGCATAACAGTAGACACCACGCCACATTGTCCTGGTAGGAGGGAGAGAGCAGATGGTAACTTCTCATGTAATCTTACCTGGAGGACATCTGCAATGAAGCCTTGCTATGTTCTGTTCACTGCTCTATTAATTGTCATACTTTGCATGAAATAGCTGTGGAAGTTGAACCATTAAGCCACAGGGTGGCAGACCAGAACCACATCTCTCTCTTCCTCCCTCCCTCCCTCCCTCCCTGAAAGAAAGGCAGGCTCCTCCACAAATTCATTAGACTTTCAAGCCAGAAGTCTGCGCTGGATCAGCCATGATATTGAATGCTTTCTCTTGATAGTAACCCTAACACTGCATTTAGGCTGCTTGGAGTACAGAATGTACCTCCCTAGGTTTGGGACTAGCCAGTTTGTAGAAATTGCTGCATTTGACAAGAAGCATTGTATAAGCGAGATTCCAAATCATCAAGAGTTTCTTCTCTACCACCCCTGTTTCAGAAAAACGACGTTTGCTATTCATGTTCTTGCCGCCTTGCTGCCTGTGATGGCAGCTGTTCATAACTCAACCGAACCAGGAAATTGTGTCTTTGCTGGCACTGTAAGTTCCCTATGTCCACTTGGGAGGTTGCCTGTCCAAATCTTGGGTTTAATTAGTAGCTGCTTTTGGCTGGGAGAGACAGTTAAGAAGGTTGGTAACAATGCCTGTGGCATGTAAATCAGCCCGAATGCAGTGTTGCATTCAAAGGGGATCTACCAGATTATGCAGTTGGGATGGAAAAATAGGAGGGAGGTGCTAGCTATGAATTTCATCTCCTTGCTGTGTTTCTGGCCAAAGGGACAGACCATTTCATCTTGACACCAGCTGTTACACTGGATGCGGTTGGAGTGTCAGGCCTCTTCAGAGCAATGATGGGGGGATAACAGGATTTTTGCCCTGATCCTGAGTTGATTCTGCCTGTTTTTTACTCTTAACCTTTTCGTGAGTCCACAGGACCATCGAAAAGCAAAAGCCTGTCCTCCCCACTCCTTTCATGGAGAGAAGCTTTTCTAAAGCCAGAATGTGTTTTGCTGCTTGCTTGTCACAGTCTGTCTTGGTTGGTGGGGCCCACATGTGGCAGCTATTTTCATTCATTTATTCAAAACATTTGTATAGCTACCCATCTTAAAGCCAAATTCTGGGTGGCTTACAATCCAAAGATAAAGCAACAGACACAGAAACCAGTAAAACCCAAACAGAAAAACCTGGTGCCACAACCACATTTCCCTGATGGCACCCACTACATCTTCATCCAACTGTAACCTCACCCTACCTCAATACTTGGGGGAAAAGTGCTCTCCTGAAGGTTAAAAGGGTAGTGGGCCTGTCGCTCTTAAAAGGTAGGGTGTTCCATAGGGCAGGGGCTGCAGTGGAAAAGGCACGCTTCTAAGAACACACAAGATGACTGTTTAAGGGAAGGGACCTGGAGCGTGCCCCCCCGTCTGCTCTGATGGGATGGACAGATACTTTCTGGGAGAGGCTGTCCCACAGATAAATTGAATGCTGGGGGTGATTTTAATCTCATCGTCTGCAGTAATCAGCCTTCTGCACCTGGACACAATTCCCTGTAAAAGTGGAGAGAAATATGGAGGTTGCCTGTTTGTTGCTTGTGTATAATACAAGTTTCTCTCCAAGGCAGTACCGGTTGCTGGGAGTTGCCCAGAATCACTGGGGGTTGGGTGGCATATAAATTTAATACATTATTATTATTAGTTCAGACTCCCGTAGACCCAGTTCAAATCCCTACTCAGCCATAAAGCTCATCACAGTCACCATCTCCCAACATAATTTACTTTTCAGGGGTTTCGTGAGGATAAAAGGTATGGAGAGTGGCAAAAACCATGCATACCATTGTGAGTTCCTTGGAGGAAAGGCATTTTACACTGGAAGTAAATCCTGATTAAAGGAAAAGAACTATGAGAGTAATCTAACTGCTGGGAAGGTCAAAGAAGTTGCCTAATGAGTTTGGACTTGCCAAAATGGGCTTTTCAGATTCCTTGGATGAGATGCTGATCAGCAACTGTATTGATGTAAGCGAAGTGTGAATGACTGGTAGCATTGGTCTGATAGAGTTGCTCCTGCACTAGTTTGGTGCTGTCCTTTCTTAAAGTAGAGCTTTGGTTCAGACTTCCCATTGTCCTCGATGCTTGTTATTT